GTTATTTAATAATTTTACAAATGAAATGAAAACATTTTGAAAAAATCAAAAAATAAATGTATTATTGAGAAAATTTCAGATTAAATATTATAACAAATTTATTTTCCATTTTATTAAATTTTTAGAAATCATCGATATTTCAAATTTAAAAATTTAAATATATATTTAAATCTTATCATTAATTGCAAAATTTAAATTAATACAAAAAACAAATATAAAATTTTCATATTATATATATATTATTTTTAAAAGATTTTAATAAATATGAAATACTTTTCATGAATCTTTAACATATAAATTTAAGAATTTTTTCATAACTCTTAACAAATTTATTTTATTTTATAATCAATACTTTAATTTGAAATTTTTCTTTCAAATTATTTTTGCTTAAATAAAATATTAAATTTAATTATTGGCTTAAATTTCTAAGTGAATAATTTAAAAAGTTAAGAAATATTTAAATTTAAAAAATAAAAATATCCAACAAAAATATTTATTTATTTTTTGGGCATATATATTTATATATATATATATATATATATAAATATATATATATATATATATAAAATATATATATATATATATATCAAATTCCGGAAAATTTTGTTCCAAAAAAATTAATTATAATGCCAAAACATGAAAATAATAAACAAAAACTAAAAATTCTTGAATATGAATACATATATACATAAAACAGTTAAAACCTAACCTAAACAAAATAAACTATGAAATCTCCACAAATATTCTTAAATGCCTATAATTGATAACAGAAGCCATTGGTTTATACCAACGGCTTCCCATACTTAATACTTATATTTTTTCATATCATCGCGTGGTCATGTGTGACGTCACGAGCTGCGATGCGATTTTTCTTTTTCGCTTCCGTCGTCTTAAATATACACGAGTTTGTCGTTGTTTTGAAATTTTTCATGCAAACAAAAACAGACTATCATTATTGTTTTGTCCGTGTATTGTTTAATATATTGAAATGTAATTGTCATCTTTGATAATGGCTTATGTAAGCCGAAAGCTTAGATTGGATTAAAAAAACATGTATCAATATGGTGATTTTCTTTCGTCTTTCAATGATAATGTTATTAAGCTTATTATTTATATAAATACAAATATTTAAAGACTCCGTTTATATTGGACGCATAATTTCAATATTTTTTATCCTGAAAGAGAGAAATTTGGATTAAAAAATAATGTCCTATGAGCCATCATATAACATTTGACAGAGGAACGTTTGGTTAGCAAAAAATTTTACTGCATTAAAAAACTTTAAATTTATGTTATGAGGTTATTTTAGGATACAGGTTCGATTTAAAAAAAAATATTTTTTTTAAAAGATTTTAAATTTAATATCCTATCTAAAGAAACTACCGATTTAAACAAATTGAAGATGTACCAATAACATTGTAATTTTAAATATATTTCAAAAATAATTTTATATATATTTGTCCATTGATTTTTACATGACATTTAAACATATATATATTTGGAATATATATATATATATATATATATATATATATATATATATATATATATATATATATATATATATATTTTATATATATAATTTAAAGTTGTTATTTATTTTATGTTCCAAAGATAAAACAATGCAATAAATATAAAAAGAATAGAGAAACAGCAAACGTTTTTTTTTTTATTTGGACTTTTTTAAAAAATATTATGGATTTTTTTCCATAAATTATGGAAAATAAAGTTTTATTTTAAAAAAATAATATTAAATATAATCTTTGTCAATTTGAAATTTATTTTCGAACGGTTGTATATTTTACCGTCCTGTACTTAATGAAATCTTATCGCAAAAATAGATTCGGCATTTTGATGGAATTCCGTTTCTAATGCCTTGAAATCGATAATTTTCGAAATTGCCACAGAGACAGCATTGCCCGGCAAAGATTATCGATCTAATTAAACAGAATGCATTTAAACAGAATGATATCAGATGATGAAAAAAAATTTAATAAAAAAAAATGTTGTTTTTAAAATTTTTTTGGGTTTTTTTTGTCAAAATCTCTGTTATAATATTACTTTTTACGTTCGGAATTTGGGTTAAAAATTTCGTTTTTTATTTTTTTTTTTTTCTTCGTCAAGGAGGTAAACTATAAATTAGGATAGAACTATTTTAAAATTTTTTTTGATAGAAACATCGATTTAAAAAATTAGCAAAAAATCATAATTGTAAATTTTTTTATTTTCTTTCAGGGCTTAAATTCAAAAATAAATTAATTTTTATTTTATATTTGTTTTTTTTTTTAGAAAACCTTGATAAAAATATGTTTTTGGTTTTTTATTACCCCCCACACACACATGATAACAATTATTTCAGAATTATTTATATTTATGAAATTTCGAGAAATTCATTTCAAAAAGCCTGATGTTTATAATTAATTGAAAGAACAAGTTTTGAAAATATAAATCAATAATTTTTTTTTTTTAAATAGGACTGCAAAATAACAAAAATGATTGCTTTAAATTGAAAATTAAAGTTTAATAAAACTAAAGATTCACAAAATTAGAAATACTTTTAATTGCTTTTATGAATAAGATATATTAAGGACACTTTTGTCTAAAGAAAAATAAATATTGATCAATAAAGGATTTTTAAAAGAAATGTTTCCATTTTTGTTTTTAATTTTAATTATAATAATTTATAAAGATTTAAATCTTTTAAAATTCCGTATTAACTGCAGTGGTTAGGTGATATTATTATTAAGTAAATACTATATTTTCTAATCATAATTATGTTTTTGTATGTGTATAAACGTGTCCATTTTTGTAAATATGGATGTCCATACACGACATTGTTAGAACATGACAGTGATAAAGTTTGTAAATTTAAAATTTATTGGTGAGTTTTTAACATTTCCTCATCAAGAGTTTCCGTAAGACTAAAAAGCCAAAAAACCTAAAAGTCAATACTTAGTATATCCTTTCAAAATGTTTCCAAAAATTTATGGGTGGTGTAAATTATTATAAAAAAAAAAGGATTTCACGTTATATTCGTCAAAAATGCATAGGGATTTCACATAAGTTCTTTATAAACATTTCTAGTCGGTGTAATGGTTAACAACTTGTCTTTTTTAGAACAGTTACGACTGAGAAGTGAGTTTGATCGTCACGAACCAGGCTTCAACACTTTCGGCCTTGCGAAATCTAATTTATATTAATTGTGAAACCAGACACCCTGGCTTTGTAATGTTTTTAAATTTATATCCATGACAATTATGACTGCGCTAGTGAGTTTGATCCTTTTGAAGTGCCCCCCCTATAAAAAATTCGGCCCTTTCCATGAATAATTTGATATGATTTAGAAAATTCGCAAATTCAATTTATCGGTAAATAAAAATCAACACTTCATAAATGCAGCAGGAACAAAAATTCTCAATTTAGATTAGTTAAACATTAAATCAAGTATTCTTCCTCAAATTACAGAAAAGTATAGTTTATTTTTTAAAGGATTTTTAATAAAGAGCTAGATGAATTTTGTTGAAAATTAAATGAAGATGAATTCATTTAACAATTTAAAAAAAATTTATTTGAACATATAACATTATTTTAAAAATACATAGGTAAGATGTTTTATTTTTATATAGGAATTAGATTTATTAGATCTGTGATTTATTTTCCCAAATTAAAATTTAGATTTTTCATTTGAATTTTCAAAACCTATGTTAAATGTCAAATTTAGGGTCAATCAATTTTAATAACCACACAACATAATTCTTTCAATACAATAAATTTTTAAAAATAAATATATGTATATATATATATAAGATTTTATACATACGCCTTGATTTAGAAAATATTTAGGTATATATATATAAATATTTTATATATATATATATTTTTAAATACTGATAAACAACAGTCTATTAAAGAAAATAAATAGTTTCAGAAAATTTTAAAACTAAAAATTTATTTATTTTCAAATTTTTACATTTAATTGGAGAAATATTAATTTTTTAGAAGTTTTTGTTTATATATTTTATATTATTGATTTTAAAAATATCTTTCTAAGAAACAAGTCATTTTAAAACACTATTGGGTGAATTTAAAAAAAATATTACTCAATAGATTTCATAATATATAATTATTTGGCAACATGAGCCTGTTTTATCCATATATATAATATATATATTCATATTTATTTATATATATATATATATATACTAAATATAGGTTCAAATTTCGGTATTGTATTTTTTCATTATGGACGCATTAATTTCCGTTTGTTTTCTTAACCTTCTTTTCCTATTTTTCAATTAAGGTAAATGTTGGACAATTGGAAGTTATGGTTTTGATTTCAACTCGTCTACTTTTAGAAGGAATAGTATTTCATTTGTCCGATTTAAAAAAAATTTAAATTTTTATTTTCGGAAAAGTTCAATATTTAAACATCATTTTGATCCATCTATAATCCAAATTTAAAGTTGGGTGTCAGATGTTTGATAAATTGAAAAGGGTTTCAAAAAAAATATTTGATTTAATATAATAAAATTGACCTTTAAATATCTCGCAAATATATTTATATATATATATATATATATTATAAAATTATATATATATAAGGAAAATATATAAATTCCATATTATATATATATATATATATATATATATAAATATATTTATTTTCCCCAGTCAAAGCACATTCGATTTTCTTCGTATCTCATAACTATTTCATACACTTTTGGTTAATTGGAATATTTTAATGTATCGTGGATAATATAAGTTCGTATTTTATTTTGAGATTGCCTATTAATTTGTTTACCGTTCTACCTGTTTACGGGCTGTTCTGATAAAAATGATGAGAATAGAATCATATAGATGAATGAGATAGATAGATAGAAATAGAATGATAGATAGATGAATAGATAATTATAGGTTAAGATGTAAATAGATAATTGATAGATAGATAAAATAGATGAAGGGAGGAATAGATAATTAAGAATTAAGATAGTTGTAGATAA